TTTGGAGTTCCCAGATCCAGATTCCATTCAGGGACCGGAGGTGCCTCAAACTGCTTAACTTTTGTGACTTCATGGAGCTTGGAATACCAACACCTTTGTGTAATGTGGTATTCTAAACTTTTCTGGGGTTGACATAGATAAAAATAGGTACCCCAAAGGGGTGGGTAGAACACTGGGTACATAGTACCGAATTTTCAGAAGTTTCCACTACAAAAAATGCCTCACGTTCAATGTTGAATTACATAAAGAAAGTCAGGTCCAGCTTTTTCAAAAAAGAAAATTGTCCTTAGGATTAAACAGGTATGCAATTCAAACAGGCTTGTGGCATCTGCAATGGTGCTGGGTGTTGCCTTGCTTCTCTGACATGTGGGTGAAACAATTGAGTCTGTGAGGCCACCGTACTTAATAGTATCAAATGTTTTATGCATTCAGTTCATTCAATCTTTTAATACTACTTAAAATGCAACTGTGTTGAAAATAATAACCATGTTATGAAACGATGCAAATCATGAACGGGTCTTAATCCAAGATGCAAGTCATTAACATAATGTTTGAATTGTTATTTTGGCATATCTTCAGTGTGAACAGTAATTACACTTTAGATACCTGCGTAAAGGATAGCTTACAACAGTGTTTGCTCTTAAAATCATGGTGCATACCAAAAATAGTTTTTTAAACCTTAAAAATACTGAATTTTCTGGGTACGTCCGTTGTTCACCACCTTAGATATTGTTTGTTGCTCTTCAGTACTTTTTGTACCTTTGTTGTCATGATTGTTACGTGAATACTTTCTTTGTTAAAATTTATTTTTGAGTTGTCACTTCAATTTTTTTCTCATTGTAAATGGAGAGAAGTACAAGAGAATAGAAAATATATTATATATTAGATCGCTGGTGAGGTAGATACCTTATAATAATTAAGTATGGTAAATTGAAAGTTTTCTGATATCAAAAATTTATTCTGTTGATGATCGTTTCATTCGCCTAGCGATCATGCTCAGAGCTAAAATTAGAATTATTGAATTAAAATTATATTAATTCATGAATAAAAAAAATAGGTGCAAGTTAATACCAAATATAGACATTGTATGCCAGATGCACGAACGGTTAGCACTGATAGGCGTCACAGGAACCTTTGATTTACTCACTATGGCTATTACAATTTCTGAGTGAAGAAATTAATAGACTACCAATGTATCTCGTAAATATTTTTTGAAGCATTAAAATGATGTTAAAATTGGTGAAAAATGCAAAAAATTAAAAGTAAAAAATTACTTATTAGTTGAAATCGAAGAACAATGCAAAAAAAGTCATAAAAATCGGTAATTTCCTTTTTGGCAGAACATAAAATTAATGTCTATTCGAAAAGACATTGTTCTGAAAAGAAATGGGAAAAAAGTCATTTTATTAAAATTCGACCCTGAATTATGAAAATATAATGTATCTTTAGATGCAGGTTAATTGATTGCAGGTGTGTGCAGTATGTTTGGTCCCATCTTTTATTTTTTTTAAATTTTATGTATAAATACATTTTTAATTTTAAAATTTTTTTATTCGAATTTTTTAACACTTTTTGTATTGAATATTATTGGTTTATTTCATGAACTTCGTAACTTCTTATATGCACTGTTATCCTCAGTAGTTTTATATAATCTCAGTAGTTTTACTAATTGAGACCGTTTCGTTATTGATGGGGGGAACTAATTAGTCTCTGGACATGTGAGAAGAGTCTATGATTTCCAGAAAATTATATCTAGGAAGACTGCGAAACTACAAAAACTATGGAGCAGTTTTATATTTGGCTGAAAGGTTTTAATATTTGATTATTTGAATCTGCTATTTCTCATGGTGATGTCTGCTTCACTCCTTAAGAGAAGGCTGACATCTTGATACTTGGAAGAAAGAAGCTTCAGTATTAAAGTGTGGCATATTAGAACAACCAATGTTTGCTGCATCAGGGCCCCATTTTCCTCACTCAACAGCAGCATTTTCTTGCTGCTTCAAGCAATTAGTTAAACCTCCAGTGAGAAGAGATGGAGTGAGTTACACAGGTAGTTTTAGTTTACTTGAGACACACTGGCCTCAGCATGTGTTAAACAATGTTTCTCACTGTGTATGTTAATCAAAAAGATTCCTTTCAAAACTCGCTAGCAATCTACATTTGTAAGAAGAGATGTTTGCATGTAAACCATACCATAGTGGGAATGTTACAAGTTGTCTTTGTGCCTAACCTTGTAATGGATATTTTTGAAATCTTGGTAGTGGATCAATTTATGATGAAAATCTAAGCATTTTGTAATGTACACCATAAATAGTAACTCATGCTTTAGTACACCTTTAACACGTACCTGACTAAACATTAATACTCTCGTGTGATCCATCCACATTTCAGTTTCTGATATACTCATCATATTCTGTTCCTCATGTACTTAGGTTCAAATTGGAGTATCTGTAAATTGTATGAATTGATAAAGTCAATAAACTTTTCAGCTTTGAGTTGGTGAGCAGAACCCTCAAATTATGTTTCAAGTTCCCCATTAATATGATAAAAGTTGTACTAGTGTAGGGTTATGATGGGGACTATGTCCTTATCATTTAATTCTAATTCTAATGTTGTAAAACCTGTAATTGTTTTGTTAGTTAAATTACTAAATTAACCAGTAATACCTGTAGTCATTGTATTGAACTCTATCATTTGTTCTGTCAAGAAGCTGTGCATGGTATTTGAGCCAGAAGGTGTATTCATAGAATCTGTGTTGAATTGTGTCATTTATGATCAATCAACCATGGCAAGTTAATTAGTTAATGCTGGACTTTAATATTTTCATCATTATTGTCTTGAACTGCGGGATAAACGTTCAGGGTGCTTGTTCCTTTAAAATTTTTATACATTGAAATAGTTGATTAGATTTTAATTGATAGTTAATTTATTTTAATATTGCTTTCTAATATTGGGAAAAGTAGCAATTTCAGTAGATCAATTTGCTCTTGTGGTACACTGTAGTGAGTGATTCAGCATTGCTTGAGTAATTCGGTTAATATTGTTGATTTAATTACATTCATTTTTAATCATTATAGTATTTCTTAATTTCTATATGAGAAGATTATTCCTGTGTGAAGTTCTTATGCAGTAATCCGTTTGATAGACGTTATATCCTCTAGTGGTGCTTACTATAAGTGGCTCACTAAAAGTCAAGTGGTTAGTCCCTTTTTATGTAGGTTGCAGCGAAATTGTAGAAGTGTCTCTTTTTAAGTTGAGATTTTCACCACAGAAAGACAGTGCATGACAAAGCTGTGTGTACACTTCTTTCATCACATTTAGATATTCATAATTTTTCTGCGAGTGTATTTGTGAGTAACCTAATAATGTTCCAAATTGTGGGAGAGAAGAAAGAAAGAAAAAAGGAAAAAGTGTTTAAAAAGAAACCTAATCAATTTCACCAAAATTTTCTTTCATTTTATGATAAAGGTATTTAAAAATTAGAGGAATAATTTAATGTTACTGTAAAATGTTCTAACAAAAGTTTGAACTAAAAGCAAGCTGAACTAAAAACAGTTCATTGTGATTGCTGAACTACGCAGTAGTTGAGCAGCATATGACTTCTGTTGTTTATACATGATCATCAGTATAGGATGGATGCACATTCGTAAAACAAATATATTGGCAATTTAATGAGAATTAATTCATTAGCCCAATTAATTGTGATCCAACTTGCATGCATTTCAATCCTAGGCGACAGTCTAGTCTCCGTCTCCCAAGCAAGAGGTTCTTCAGACTTGCTAGTGGATGGGGATTAGACGATCAAGGGCGGTGTTCCACAAGTTTTGGTTTTATCAATCGGCAGTAGCACATTTATCATACTTCACGCCAGGTTTTCTTAGTCCAGTAGCTCTCGATCCATTGAGCCTAGAAATTTACCTGCAAGCAACCTCGTGTCGGGATGGGGTCTGATGCTACTTTGCAGCAGGGGAAAGATCTTTGGGTTAGGGCTCAACAGGATCGATTGAATGCCCTCAACAGAGTGCGTGGCATATCATGGTAGCCGATGTGTTTTGCTTGTGTGCTAGGTGTTAAAATCGACAGTGTACTTACAGGCAAGATAAAACAATTAGAATTCAAAATGAATATAGGTTTATTGATTCAGACCACAGAGTGATTTTGAACTTGTAGCCAATCTTTTTTTTTTGTGGTCATTGTAAAAGTCAGAAAGTTTTAAAAATTTCTAATTTTAATTTGGAATCAAAATTTGTCAAATAACATTAAGAAAGTTTGTAAACTGTAAAAAATTATTTCAAAATATTTCTTTTAGTTCAAAATCATGGTTTGAATTGTTTTACTTAATTTGCTTTGCATTTTTTGTTTTTTTACTAAGCTATGAAGTTGCTTTATGGATGAGAATCAGGAAAACAGAAAACAGATTCAAGTAGCCAGCAGGCACCCTTAGAAAAATTAAGGGATTTTGATATTTCAAATGTGCAACCACCCTGGAATCACCCAAGATCTTAACATGATCTAAGCCGGTGATGCTACATTTAGAAATGCAGATCCCTTATCCTTTGGAGTGGAATTTTGGTCATTTGAAGCCACTAAAGATGAGATGTCGGCCAAACATGATTCAGCATAGATCCCTTTTTACAAATATTAATGTACAAAAGTTTTTGTGATATTTATACCAAGTTAAATTTGCATTATCTTCTGCAGGAAACACTGTTTATTCATGAATTCTTTTAAGCAGACACTAATGTGCTGTAATAACTTTTGATATACTCCTTTTTTATTTTTTGCTTTATGAATGTCAGTCTGTTAATCGAACAAATAAAAAAAATTAATGAGATATTATGTAAGAAATCAGGAGATATTTCAGATGCATCAGTATATGCTCAAATTAACGTTGCATTCTGTTTGCATTTTTTCTTGAGTTAGCGAACAGACATTGCAATATAATGCATCAGTGAAGATGTTTGTAGAATAATAATAATATATTAATATACCAATTGCAGATAGAGAGCCTTCAACGAGGCGCAAATCATGGACCTGGGCATACTTTACAAAGCAACCCTTCAACAAAGTTGAATGTCAAATTTGCCGCAAACTTGTCAATTACACTTGTAAAAATACTACTGGTATGATAACGCATTTAAGACATCATAACATATGGAAGAACAGTTATTCTGGCTCTGCCGTATCTGCTGCAGCGCAGTAAAAGGCTAGAGCAGACAATCGAGAAAGACGCCAAGAAGTCTGGTAGGTTTTATTGCAATATTTTGAAGCACCAAGCGTTGGGGGAAGCTTGCTTTCAAATTGCCAAATGATCATTGTCATATTTCAAAATTATTCAAAACCTTTTAATGCATATGTTTGAGTTAGGTATTATAATTCGCTGGGGTAATTGTAGACTTTTCTCCATAATAACCATTTTTATTTACTCTTGCAAAACATTCATCAACATTATTGTGAAATTCTACAAAATTATTCTGTTAAATCAAATATTGGCTGTATTATTTGGTGTTGGATTCTTGCCCTTCAGTGTTTCTATTCTAGGAAAAATTGTTATTATTTTTAAATGTTAGGGGTGGTCAACAATTTCACAGAATTCTTTCTTTTAAGTCTAAGATTGTTACAAATAAGATTTTGTTTGAAAACTTTATTGCCACAAGAAATGACAATTAATCTGCTGGTTAATTTCATTTCTCATAATGCCTCTTAAAACTTAAGTAGAAAACTAATTTTAAGAATTAATATTAATCTGGTGATTTTGGAGGGAAATTGACTGTTAGTACTCTACAAACAGTGTGTTTTAATTTGTAATGTGTTATTTCTTTATAATTGGAAAATATGGTTAGCAAGATTTCCTAAATTTTGCCAGCATTGTAAACGTAACCTTATTATTACAATTTTTTTAAAATTGCAATTTTAGTTGTCATATCGTAATTTAGTGGAAATTTGCTTTATGTTCTTTGAAAGGTTTAAATATTACTTTTGAGCGTGAGGGATTGAATTTTTTTCATATATTTTAGCTTTGAATTTTCAAAATATTACCTGCTTATATTCCTAAACACTGGGAATTTCAATTTGATGTGGAAAATTATTTTTGATGTGCTTCCAGTGAATCATTTTAATTATTAATAGTTACAGCATAGCAGAATACCATTCTATTTTAGTTACTTTACTACTTTCAGATATAATGGCTTCAGCAAGGCGTAAATCATGGACCTGGAAATATTTTGTTCAAGAGTCAGAAAACAGAGTGCAATGTTGTATTTGTCATAGAATGTTAAAGTTCAATATTGCCCTAGGAACTAGTCATATGATAAGGCACTTAAGAATTCATAGGATTGGGCAACCTTCTGCTTTAGCTTAGCTAACTACCATGTTTGAGCAGCTGATAAACTATTATCATCCCGTTTAAGAATTTAGAGTTTCTTCTTCTTCTTATTTTTATTAGTAAAATAATTATTATTTTGTTGTTGTTGTACTGTTTAACATCACTCAGATTTTTTCTGTACAAAATTATGTTAGATTTAATTAATCAGTTACCTCTCCCCTCCTTGCTATTAGAAAAACTGGATATTGCAAATAAACGTATTACAGATTCACTAATTAATATGGAAGGAAAACCTTATAATGTGAACTGATATCGAAGAGCCTACGGTTAGTGTTCTGATGATGGATGTTTTGTTTTTGTCTGGATCTGAAACCTCTCAGAACGTTATGAGCAGATGTAAGAGAGTAATTAGTTAGAATGTTTTGGTGTTTAAACATTAATGAGAAGTTATCTGAGTATCTTTAAGAACAGATGTGAAATATGTTGGAAGGATCTTGAGGTTCTGTGAAATTGATTTTGGTGAAATTAATTGTGATTTAGTTCATTCGTACAATTTCTTTCATGTATAAGTTTTCGCAGTTCTCTCAGGACATAATTATCAGTAAAATTTTTGAATGTTGACGTAGGCAAGATCAAAGACCTCACAGATGAACAAAAAGGTATAACTCAACTTTTAACAGAAGAGAACTATAATATAAGTGAAATCAGGATTATAAATTATTAGTCGACAAGTGAATGTTGCATTCCAATGGTTAAACAACTATGAACTAAACAAGAAATATGGCAACTGAAAGCATGCTGAATATTTTACATAATTTCTTGGAAATGGCATAATAATCTGGCCAGGGACTGTACATAGAAAGGACCTACATAAGAATGTGTAGAGGTATCAAGCAGTACTGCCACGTTTCTTGCCCGATATTCTTAAGCAACTTCTTGCAAGCCACTAAAGATTTAACAATAAAATAAAATTTAAAAAACATATTCATTTTAGACAGAAAATTATGGTACTTTTGATCATGAATAGTGTGTGAAATGCTATACTTGGTTGCCTATTTAAGAGGTTACTACTTAAAATTGCTGCAGATGACATTGAAGATTAATTCAATTTTTGTGATCCACATGAAAATTTATTGAAACTTTGGTACATGTACTGCATACATTTCACAAATATATTCTACTAATTGAGGTGGATTTTTAATACCTTTTTCCAAAAGAAGGCAATATCTGGCAGAATTACTTATGTTGACCAATTTTATATGAAGGTGTATTCACATTAGACCTTTTTGGTTGTAGACTAGTAACAGGTAGACATTCATTATATGGAACCTTTTATAGTACTGGTTAGTGTCTAGACCTCAAATATTAGAAATTATTTACATAGACCTTTTTTTTTTCTATGGATCTTATGACAAGTAATCCTGAAGAACATGAAAATGTTTATGTTCATCTATTGCACAGTTCACACAGTACTGAAAAATCTCAAAAATAAAAAAGTTCACAATTGTTCAATCCAGCAAAGCAACAAATGAGGAGAGCAAACGGAATGTAGTTTCTCTGCTACAAGGTGCTGAGGTATTGCTTTGTGAAATGTGCAAAGATTGGCCAAAAGAAAAAGAAAATCCTGTTAATTTGTGCACCGGATGACTTTCAATGGGTTTCTTGCTTTAGTATGAAACATTAAATCTGGAATGGAAATGCATTATTTTTATGGAGACTTTTTGGGACCTGAAATTTTTTGCTTTAAATCGGGATACCACTAAAACAGACTTTCAATGTGTTAATTAAATAATAATTTGACTGATTTTAGTAATATTGTTTTTTAAAATTTCTAATATAATTATTTTTCATTATAAATGTTTTGCATCCCACAAATTAGTATTATATTAGTATTACACTTTTCTCAGCTAATAACATCTTCAATTACCAATATTCAATTATTTTGTGGAAATAAAAATGTGTTTCATTCAATTTTATTCCGTGTATGAAGGGGCCAACTATCAAGTTAGCAAATAATGATCAGAAATCTGTCAGATAACTTTCATTGTTACACAATTCAAAACCGCAAATTGAAAGTTCACTCTGCTCTAAGCTCTTCAGTTATATTTAACTTGCAGAATTACACCACTTCTTATGAGAGATGTAACAAACTTTCATTTTGCTTTTCTTAAACACAATTCTTTGAATAGAGTATAATTAGAGAATACGGAAAGGAAAATACTTCTTAATAGGCTTTGTAAGTTTTTTGACAACGTTCCAAATTATTGTTGAGAATTCGCATCTCTAATCTAAATACTTCTGCATGGTTTTTACTTGCTAAAAACTCAAGACTGAGTTTACTGCTGCATTTGTGTTTTGTGTGTAACACAGTTATGGGTTTTTGTTTCACCTGCCAATAACCATTGGCAAGTTATCATTTGTATCTTTGATGTGAAGGAATTCAAAGCCTTAATGCATTTTATTTCAAATTATTTGACAAAGTTTGAAGTAGGAAATTTGATTGAATATATTCTGAGGTCCAGCACATTAACACAATTATTGTGATTCTTTAGTTGTTTTAAGTAATTTGGATTTGAAGTGTTTTTGATTTATTCTGGTACTGATTTGATTTAAATTATTTTACTTATTAAAAGAAATATGGAGCTTCATCCTACAAATTGACTTTTACAACCTTTTTTCTGGAGACTATAAAATCCAAAAAATCCAAATGCGATTCATTAAATTGTGTTATTAAAGTGTGGTTTATGTTAAAGTTTTTGAATAGCCGTAAAAAGTCCAAAAACTTGTTGCTGATTTATTTAATCCAAAAATAATTGGTTTATGATCATCACTGTAATTTCTGCTTGCTGGGCAGCTTCAGTGGTGTATCTATAAAATTTTCCTGATTGTGCATCAATTTCTAAATTTTGGATGAATATTCGTGTATTTATGTGACATGCCTAGTGTCTGTTCTTGTAGTTTGCAATATTTTCTTTGCCTCACGTCTGTCTTTATTGATTTGTGGTGCTAGAAATTCTGCTACTACATCTTACATGGATGTATTTCAAGTTAAACCTCAATCTATCAAATTCATTTGTTTTGTTAAGTAAAGATGACAATTTTTTAAAAAATTTTACTCTAGTGGGACTTATTTTATTGTTTTGTATTCATTGTTCATGTAATCAAAAATCATTTAAATAATTCCCTCTGAGTGTGATTGAAAAAAAAAATCAGAAGGCAGAAAGGTTTTCTAAAGTGTTCTGTCACTTATTACTGCTTTGCCGATTATAAATGGTGAATGGTCTAAAGCAATTCCCAAAATATTTATATTTATATACAACTTCAGTGAAGTGAGGGTAATTGCTAATTACTCCTGAGTGTGTGCGTGTATGTGTGTGTGTCCTGTTGCTGATGTGTTGATGTAATGATGCTACATTTCAAACAACAACTGTTTTGTTAACCAGGTTGTTGAGGGAGAGGCCAATTGTAAGAGAGTAGATAAAGGTTTTACTTTGTGAAATTTCATTACTTTAATTTTGACTGGTGCTTTTTTCATTGGTAAGGAATCTGCGAAAGTTCGAATTGAATGCTGTGGAACAGGATTTTTCAACAAAGGTGGGGGGCTGAGATTTAGTCTGGTTGAATTAATATACACTAAATCTTCACTTATACATTTTGCCCTTCAGTCACCTGAAATATGCATAAGTGAGAAAAACGCATAACTGAAATTTAATATTATGAGCAAACTAAAACAATATTTTCCGAGCACTTGGCGCAGATGCCCATTCGAATGTTATGCAGTCACGTATAAATGTGAAAAACATATAAATGAATAACATATCAATGGAGTTTCACTGTACTTTGTTTACATCACACCCTAAGGAGTAGTCTCAGAATTAATGTACTCATTTTACTTATTTATTTATTAATTAATTAATTTTTTTATTTCAAACTAGAACTTTTAAGTTATTTCAAAATTAGGAGAGGGTGCGAATCTATCCAAATTGATCTCTCCATATTCTTACTCAATCCAACCTAGCATGAATGATTAGACGTAGATATAATAAGAGTCCATCGTACGATTTAATTTATACTGACAATGGAATGTGCTTACTATCTCAATGAAATGTGAACGATTCAACATTAAAATGTAAATGTTATGATTTAAATTTTCAATTGAAAGCTTATTCCTTTAAATTGATCCATTCTTCCAGCCTTCCATCACAAATAGATTTTTATGTTGTTTTGGGTTACAGCTAGACTCACTTTTGTCACAGTTAAGAATGTATGGCCATGAAATAAGAAATACATCCATGCAATTTGTTTATACAGTATTGTTTATTGACCTTACCGCTAAGTGCTTGTATTTTTAAATTCACTGAAAGAACGAAATACAATCTTACTAGACACATTTCTCATAAAAAAAATGCAAGAAGATTGTTACAAAAAATTCAAAAACACATTAACTGTACTTCTAGCACTGAATATGTTATTTATTTTTTTATTATAAATACTAAAATACTGTGTCATTACTCATATTGTGTGTAGAATTGCGATATCAAGAAAGGAAAGGTACCTGATTCCGTAGAATGGTCTGAAGATTTGACTTCCAATGATTTTTCAATGTTATCATTTTACAATGACATTATGTTTATGAATTTGAAAATACATTTAAACTGCACTTGTACACTAAAACACATCTTAGCACCTTTTTTATGTGTAAAAAAAGTTTGTCTTTTGAATTAATCAATTCCAAAATTCTTATATGAATTAAATTATTATTTTTGTTTAAAAGTGACATTAACGTTTTGTGAAAGAGTTCAAGCAAAATTATTTTGTGAAATTCTTTGTATTCAAATTGTAATATTATTATGTAAAAAGGTTACAAAACGGATTTGTATTACGTAAATAAAGTTAAGACACCAATGAAAGTGAACTTAACTTTTCTGTCAAGGAATTAATCGATAATCATTTCTTGAGCAGTTAATCATATTAATTAAAATAATTTATCATTTACATTTACTGATTGCCAAAAAAATTAATAATGTTAGTCATAAACATTACCGGGTACTTAATCGAAAGAAATCAATTTTGAACACTTGTCCTAGTTTCAGATAATGTGGTTTCAAGAAGGCGGGTAGCATGGCCCTGGAGGTACTTTGTGCAAGATTCGGAGAGCAAAGTTCGATGTTGTATTTGCAATAGGGTGATCAAGTACAATGATAGTAGTGCTCATGGATCTGGTAATTTGATTCTCCATTTGAAAATACATGAAACAATGCTGGGTGCTGCCTTTAAGTGATTTGTTTTCAATGGATTTTAGATTGGATGTAAATAATGCTTTTAAATGATGATATATTTATGAAAACCACATTTCGGTTAATTTAGTGTTACTTTTGTCATTATTTAAATTTTTTTACTAAGACGTACCAAACATAATCCAAGAATCTTTTGGAAAATATTATATTAATAACTAATATTGAATGGATTGTTTTATTATAAAATAGTGTCCTACAAAAAGAGAAGAATTATTTTGTAATGACATATTGTACATAGTTGTGTAAAACATTTTGTTTGTTGTTGTTGTTTGCATTTTGTTTTTAATAAATTATGGTTTGTGTAATGACAAACATGCAGTTTCACTGTCTTCTGAGACTTGATTACTCTAAACCACTTACTGATAAACAAAGAATAAAATTTCTCTTGTAGAAGTAACGAATATTTCTCTTATAATTCAGCAGAGTTACCAATGTAAACTTTTGTTTATGTATTGTATTTCTAATAAGTGCTTTTGTATTTCATTTACAAAAATTTGGTGTATATGTATTGTATCATGTACTTGATTGTGATATTGATTTGTGTGTTGGCTGAACATATCAGTTGAGTAAAATATTTTGAGATTTCTTTGAAGCATATTTTCATATAACAGGGTAGCTTGGAGTAACATATTTCGCAACTAAATTTCGTGAAACATTCTTAGAGTTGAGATACATAAGTTTTAAGGAAAGGGAAAATTAAATTGAAAATAGTTATCTATCTGCTCATTCTGAATTTTCCCTGACAATTAATTCTGGATTGTAATGTGACGTTGAAATTTTTCCATTAAAAGTTACTTTATAATTTCTGTTCAGATGTGATGATCATATTTTCTTTACTCTTAATTAACCTAAGCAGGTTAACATGTACGGTGTTTGGATTACTGTTATTATGCACAATGAAATGTGATTTAAATGGTCATAAATAGATTCAGCAAAATTAGTCGTTAACAGTGGTGGCCTCTTTATGAAGTTTGAGCTTACAGGAAGTGTATGAGAAGTATATTGTTCAAATTGCTGTTAAGTATGTTTTCCTTAAATTTATTTTAATTACCTGAAACTACATCATAAACAAGGGTTCTGAAATCATTTGCCATTTGCTTGATATTAAGTACGTTTTTCTTAAAATTGTTTTAATTGCCTGAAACTCCAAAATACATCTTAAGCAAGAGATCAGAAATCATTTGTCTCCTCTAACGTTACCTTGACTTGTGTAGTCACTTATTCACTAACTTAATACTCAAATTAGCTTCTTGCTGACCTGAACTCATTAGCAAATGAGACTTGAAGATGCATTGCACATTTTGAAGAAATGTTAATGCAGAGATGTCGGATGAAAAAGCAAATGTTTAATCAGATCGTTTTCTTGCGTGTAGTGGCTCTACCCGCTCTTATCTAGTCCTCTCAGTGGAGAATGTTGGAAGTGTTAATTATTGAAGAAACGTACATTGAGGTCATCTATTATTATCTAAAACAAATTAATCCTCCTGCAAGAAAATCGACTATGACACCGTTCAAATTAATCTCACAATGCGCCCTGACATATAAGATTCTAAATCGAAAGTACTCCTCACCTCTTTTCCTCTATTCTATTACAGTTTAAAATCACACGATGTGATCCTTAGTAAGGTCACTCCATGAATCTGGTAGCCAAAGGACTGGGATGCCAGCTTAAGAGGGAATATTATACATTTTGTGGAAAAGTCAGTCAATTCCAAGAAAAAATGGCTGTTAATTGAGGTGACTGTGTGAGCAGGTTTCACTGTATCAGATAGAATTGTAACCTTTTACAACATTGGGTAATGTTCATTTCTCGTTCATTTCTTCTCAAAATTGTTGTGAATCATATCTGTCTTCCAATTATAATTATAGCTTTACTCTCTTCTGCTTGTTACTTTGTGATTCTGCCTCTGTCTCTTGTCTTTCTCTTGATTTCACATTTTCTTCAGTGATCCACATCCAAGTGTTTTGGCTGGTGTGGCTACTTGTGAAAACAGATGCCCTTTTTTGGTAAAAGTTTGGCAAATGGCAGCCTTTTTGTGACTGTTAGATGTCTGTTGCCAAACAAGTATTTTTGTGTTGAAAATCCAGAACCCAGAACTAAAAAATAAATCTTATGACATGTGATGCTATTTATATTTTATTGTGCTTCATATCAAAAATTCAAAAAGAATTCACCATCCCAAAATTTAATGCAGTTACAAAATCAGGTAAGTTTATTTCTGCCCAAGGACAGAATTCATATAGGAAAATGTCTACTTTTATTTGTTTTACTTTGTTTGCTAAGTCAAAAATATTGTGGAATTACATGATGAAGGAATATTCAGAAATAATTTCCTGTAAAGTAATACTACACTCCTCTTTCTATTCTTTGTTTATTATTTAATACGAGTGAGGTTGTGAAGAAATAATGGAAATCATCTTCGTCAACAATAACACTTCAGAATTCTCACAACGAGTGAGATTGACAATAAAACTGTCTTATCGCCCTACACTTTTAAACACATTGTGCTGTTTCATTAAATGTGTTTTTAAACAAAAGTTTAATGGGTTTTTGAACATTAATGCAATGGAAATAATTACTCTGCCCTAAATGACATTCAAGTTTAGACATTAATAGTGAATAATTAAATCATTTTAATAAAATAAAATATTTAATGTGTTTTTTATATTAGATTAGCTTTTTCTAAAGCTTTCTGCAAGTTTGTTGGAATGTTCTATCTGAATTTTGAATTACCGTAACATTCTCAGAAAATTAGGGAGAAGAATTGCTATTTTAAAATAACAGTTCACTTACGACTAGAAAACAACTCGTTCTTAGAGAAAGGTGCTCAAATACAAAAGTAAATTTCATTAAATTTGCTCCAAATTATGACTTAGTATTTTTCATAAAACAAACTGTTTAGGTGCTACAGCAATTTAAAATTTGGTGACAGTTTCTCAATATGAGAGAATTTTTGTTTATAACCTTAAAATTTGCACTGTTTAAGATGTTTTTTGTACAAAAATAAAATACATTTCCTTGAATATGTATGTGCTGGTCTCTAATCTGTTTTTCCTTCTGACAAATTGTAGCAGCGAAGTTAAGTGAGCATTGGACTTAAAAGTTTGTCATG